GTGCTATCATGGCGAAAAAACTAATAATGCCCAACTTAGTAAAGTGGTATGTACTACAAATTACAATTTTATGATTCTCATGGTTTATAAATTTATTTTTTAAATTTGTTTTTTTTTTAATATATATTATTAAAAAAAACAGGCTATCAGTAATTTAAGATCCTTATACGAAGCTTTTAAACCATCTTTAACAAAATTTTTAAAAATCTCTAATGAGGAATTTGATAAGATGGTTAAAGTTTCTGAAAAAGAATTATTTGAATTTGATTCTTATTACTATTTTACTCGTGTTTATGCAAGAAAATCGGTTGAAATTAATGAAAAACCTCAATTAGTATTTGAAAATGAATCGAAACCTAATAGTGATAATGAAAAAGAACTTAGATATACTTAATATTTATTGTTATCATACATAAATATTATTATGTTAATATGCTTTTAATGACATTTAATGAATATAATATAGTTTTGATTTAATTAATACTAATTTACAGTAATTCAATTATTCATTCCTTTGTTTTAATATTTTTTCTTAAACCTTTTTTTATATTAGTTATTAGAATTACTTGTTGTTTTCATTACACAAATTTTACTTTTAAACTGCTAATCTTAAATTTTGGCAGTAAATAAAATAATAACAAATTATCTATTCGTAACGCCTTTGTAGTTATGTGTAACCTGGCACAGATTTCAAACGTGCTAAACCAGAAACTCGTGACATAATCAAGTGCTCTAATGCTAGAACCTACAATAATTATTAGGATCAAGTTTCTCTCACCCCCTTGATCGAAGCTTTCCATTTATCAAAGTTTATTTTGAATAGTTTTAGCCTAGTACGTATTTGCTATTAGTTGTGCGACCCATAACAATTTGGGAGTCATTTTAATTTTATAACGCATAATCAGCTCTGCAATATCGATATCGGATAGAACAATTTCCATATGATTGGCCGTTTAAGTATATTTAATTTTACATTATTTATAAAATTCAAAGGACTTTTTAAGAAAATCAAACTAAAGAATGAAAGAAGCATACAAAATAGTTATTAGAGTCGTAAGACTCCAATATTGAAAATGATCAAAATCCCCCTTTTTTTTAAAGAAGTCAGCATCGAAATAACCTAGTTCGATCCATTTTTTAAGAAGTTGCTATTATTTCAACTTCTCTACGATAAAAAGGATTTTAATCATTTTCAATAATGAAACTAATAAAGCTTTCTATGCACTTCTTATTATTCATTCTCTGTGGTTTTTTTTAAAAAAAACACTTTAAACTGTATAATAATTAAAATTAAATAGGCTTAAACAGCCAATCATATGTAGTCGTCTTATGAATTAGTTGCTGGGAAAGGGACGAATTTGACAAAAAATAAAATCATGAAAATTTTTCTCAACGATTTTCTAAATTGATAAAAAATTTTAATTCTATAAAATTATACAATTAAAATAATGCCGATTTTAACTTTCACCATATGTTGTTTCTCAAAATTGGATTTAATAATTGATACTTGATATGCTAAGTAAAAATGTTCTGCATCCTAAAAAATCCATTTACTTTAATTTTAACCTTAAACCTAAAGTTTAATTTTTGCTTTAAAAATTTGTGGTAAAAAAAAAAGCATATTTGGTAAATTTACCTCCGGTGAAATTAAATAAATTCTTAAAAAGGGTTTTAATAGGTAGTACAATATCTGGACAAAAAAATTTTTTTATATGTATAAATTTTATTATAAGCCCGAAAGTGGAGCGTTCCTATCTAAAACCTTTTTCTTATAATTAAATCACTCTTGGGCTCTAACAAAAGTTGTAGAGCTTATCAAGATGCATTTAATGGTAGCAAAAATGTTAAAATTGGTCTGGTGGTTCTTGAGAAATTTTTAATAAACCTTTCACCCACATATAAAATTTCTTCAAAAAAATCAATGTTTTTTAAAGAAATTTTATATGTTGACAAAAGTTTTTTAAAGATTTTTCAAGGACCACCAGGCCAATTTTAATGTTTGTATTACCATTAGATGTGTCTTGATGAGTTCTACAACTTTGTTCAAAGCCCAAGAGTGATTTATTTAGTAAGAAAAAGGTTTTAGATAGTAGCACTCTACTTTTGGGCTTATAGTAAAATTTATATATAAAAAAATTTTTGTCTAGATATTTCAGAAACTACATATTAATTTTGATTAGATAACCTTGTCAAGAAAATTAATTTCTTATATTTTTTTATTTTTTTCATATTAAATTCATTTATCTTCCCATTACTTAGCTTATATATTATTATATCAAAAACCTCAATTTTTAAAAATAAAACTACAAATAAAAACTTTATTTACCTAAAAGCCATTAGCATAAGAATGTTTTTTATAATTATTAGGCTATATTATAAGTCATATAAATCTTAATAGTTCTTTAAGCAATACTATATTTTGTTAAAATATTAAAATTTTAGTGAATATTTAAAAGTAACAAGAATAGATTCATTGCAAAATAGATAATGAAAATGAAAAATTTTAATTATCTAAGTAAAATTGAACAAATAGATTATATTAATCATATAATAGTACTCTGCAAACTGGTGCTAAAATAATTAAATTATTGCTATTAACAAATGAAGAATATGCAATGATGTAGAGTAATAAAAAATTGAATGTTCTATAGAATAGATAGGCAATATAAGAAATAAGCTTTGCAAATGATTAGTAATTATTAATTTTTTAATATCAGAGTTGCAGAGTTGGTGGAGTTTGCCTACCTATTCTATAAAATATCTAAAAAATTATTAGTCAGTAAAGACTTGAAATATTTAGTCTCTAACAATAACAGTTTTAAATAATAAACTTATTACAATACAATTGGCAAAAATTCAAATATTCAATTCATAAACTAGAGTAGATTTAAGAATAGTAAAATGAGTAACATCTTCATGATCATTATATTATATAATTAAATGCCCAACTTAAATTATTCTTTAAACTATTAGATTTAGTGTATAAATTTGTATACTAAAATATTTTGAAGAAAATCAGATATGAAAAAATTTTTTATAAAACTTCTATTCTAATTGGCTATAATAATTTTTCAAGACCAAGGGTGTGGTGACTTAGTGAAGTTGGTAAGTTGTCACACCCCTAAGCGGCAAGACAAGAGTTCGAATCCCACTGGTGATGAAATTCGAATTTTACAAAATGTGTTAGGGCAGACTATGTATAATCCATTAGATCGGTAAGATCTGTAAACTTGGTCACACCAGAGCTTACTGAGAGGCTGTGGAACATTAGTTTGACACATAAGTTACATGAAACCTGAGTGAAGCAGCTGGGTAAAACTAGGTATTGAGACAAAAGCACATGGAAGCCCGCTTGACAAGCCCTGAGTAGAGAGATAGTACAGACTATCGATGGTACTACATAAAGGATCATTAACCAGAAAACTGGAAACTGGATGGGACCGAGGTGTTTGGCAAGGCACTATACCAACCAGGCCACCATGGTATCAGGGAAGGGGTCCACCCTTCTGGGCTATCTGGATTAGGAGTTTAGAGACCGGAGGAATGATAGAGGGTCCGTAAAGTAGGTGCTAGGGTTTGGGTAAACTCTACAAGGGCAGAAGTAGGTAACAGTAGCAGCTTCAGCTCGCAAGTACTCATTCTCGGACTTGGCATAAGTTACCGAAAGTCTAGGTTAGCTGGATTATGGATATAGAAAGCTTTAGCAATGATGCCTCAAGGATAAATTAGTCCTAAGGCTATGGTACACATCTGAAACTCTTGACTAACGAATGTAATAAAGATGTTCCAGTAACACAAGAGAATAGTGTACATTACAGAGGATTTAAATAGATAATCCTCTAGTTGGGTTATAGATATGGCAGCTAGTGTAGAATCTACGATGTAATACCATATGCGAACTACTTAAATAGGTACTCAAAAGATGCACGTGTGGCTAGTTGTACTCTCTAATATAATTTGAGTTCCGCTTATGTGAGCTCTCCACCCATTATACTTGAATAAAAATTTCTATGCCAAAGAGGCTAGTTAATAAAAAAAAATAATAATAATAATAATTTTTCAAGACCCAAATTATATGGCACACCTCAGCTATAATGTAAAACTCCCTATATAATCTGATTAGACAGTAAAATTTATACAATAGCTATAAAATAAGTCATTTTATTTATGCTTTTAAGCTATTTTATCTCTTTAACATTACTTCAAAAATAAATTATATGAAGTTAATCATAAAAAATATTTAATCAACTTTAAAGTTATATTATAAAAAGAACCTCTGCATAGCAATTATAAAAATTTTTATAGGTGTTCATGAAAGTACCTTTTTAAGTATTAAATTTGGGCACAAAGATCTTATTATGATCAATATTAAATAATTGATTATTTGAGTATTGCTAAAAAATTTTATGAAATAAGAATTATATAGTAATCATAATATAGTAGACTTTTATTTAGCTTAGAAAATGAGAGTGTAGCTTAATAAAATTTAGAGCAAATATACAAAAATATATCAAAAATCATTTAGTATACAAATTTGTATACTAGAAAGTTTAAAGAATAAAAAGTCTATAAACATGTACCAATTATGTGATATTTTGCTTACTGACATATATTGATCATATGGGTCTTTTCATATAAAATCGGGGCTTAGAGATGAATTTTTTATTTTGAGATATCAATAATTAATCATTTTGATACAAGTTTGATAATTGTGATAAATTTAGATATTTATGTGTGTAATGTGTAACATATCTCAACATAATAAATCGATCATTAATAATTACATTGCTGATGTAATATTAATGGTTTTAGTAATAGTGCGATAGTGGATTTAAAAATTTTAATACTAATAGTAATTAAATATTAGTGAATTAAGTTCAAAAATTAGAAAATTTAAATTTCTTGACAATATAATGCTATACATATCTTAGTGTTTCCAAATTATCAAATTTGTACATCATTGATTTGTTATTAGTAATAGCAGTTAGTATTACAAGCCAGCTGGAGCAGCCACGGCTAAAGCAGCTTAGCCGGCTAAGCCAGCCGATATATTAGTATCGGCTGGCTAATGCAGCTTAAGATCACATGATTTCCATAGTATAATTTAGGCCGAAGTGATAATGCCAGGTAGAATTAATTAATAGGAGATACTGTTAGACATCTCTATAGTCACCTCCTCTATAGTCACATTTGCTTATAATCAAATTTTTAAGCACAAACTCTCTATAAGCACAAAAATCTTAAAACAAAGGGTGTGATTATA